TTGCAAGGTCGTCTTTAAAGGTGATTGACATTATACTACCATTTTTACTGCTGTTATTTTGACTCCTAAGTCGTAGACAATAAAGTTCATATTATACAAAATTTACCTATAAAGATATTTGTTAACAGAATATGCGTTCACGTACTTCGCGTGCCAAACTCCCATGTATTGGTTTGGTAGGTATTATTGATTTTTAATTGTCGAATTAGCGAATAATTACCGTTGATTGGCCGCGGGATGGTGGCAAAAAGCGTGCAAGATTTTTGTTGTTGCTGTAGCAAATTTGGTAATTTAAGTCCATTTTTCACGCGCATCCGGCTCGAAGGACCAGGATGATAGGCGGTGGGTATACGAAACCTATAGTGCCTATTACGATGTTTATCTGTGACGAAGCTTTCTGTTGGCATGGTCGCATCATCTTAATGAATGAGTTATCAATTAAATCAATTAATCATCAGATTCCTAATTGTAATAATGATGTGTCGATTAAATTAATTAAAATTGATATTTAGTTAATTCATTTAATAAATATTCAAATGTATGTTCGACAGGTTACTCCAATCCTACTTCTCAAATTAGCTTCAATCCTCACAAAGTTAATACGAGAACAGCACAGCCAATACAAGCCTTGGAGGATGAAATTAAATGTAGGATGACTCTTTTTAGTAACCCACTTACAGTGGACTCGAGGGAGACTTTGTACAAAAGTCGATTGCTTAGGTACCTCTGTCCCATTCGTGTTTCAGCCGTGAAGCAGTTGTGTTTGCATGCCTGTATTTCAGTTTGAAGGGCGGGATATAGCGTGAATTTACTGGGTACAGAGAAATAACACCTGAGTCCTCAGGAATGGCAACGCATGGATGGTATCATGGACGACACAGTATGCTCTGTTATGTCCATGGTACTGCTCATGTCTATATGCGACGGTTACCACTTTCCGTCCGGTGGGCCGTCAGCTTGTTTGCCATTCTAAGTTGTATAAAAAAAAATATAATGATGACACTCGTAGTACCTAAGCCATGTGATCCCAATATAGAAAGAGCCCCTTTCCTTTCTCGTAGGCGTTTTAGAAGTATTTTTGAAGTCAATTGAAAATACAATATACTTATAGCGGGGGGAAAAGGTTTGTTAGTAGACTGAGAATCCCATTGCTAGCCATATACCCAACCAGGTCGACCTCCTCGCGGTTCTCCCTGGAAACTATCATGGTTAATTCCTGATGAATTCATCATGATGGGCTAACTGGCCTGTTTTCATTCTCATCTATCACCCTTCACTGGTGCTCCGCCAGCGTATCCCGTTAGCGCAGGAGGGGTTACCATAGCATTTTCATTCGTCAAAAAAAAAAAAATATACTTATAGCCTGTGCAGATAAAAGGCCTTTAAGCTGTACATAAAAACATTTATATTTCATTTTCCCAGGTTTTAAATTCCAACGAGAAGCGATCCTCGGCGTACATATTAGTCCCTAAATCGCATGCTACATCAAACACGGATTGTACAACCTGGCTTATACAATAGAGAAATATGTCCGCGGACAAAAGTCCTGTTGCCTGCACATTCTTACAGTGTTATAAATTCAATTATCCATTAGATAGAAAGAAAGCAATACTTACCTATTACTTTAACACATCTCGTATAGTTGCTCTTTCAATTTCTTCAATATATACCTATATACTGTACCACCATCGCTGAGACACATACAATGGTTACCACACATTTTAAATTTTCATAGAAAACTTTTTATATATATATATATATATATATATATATATATATATATATATATATATATATATATATATATATATATATATATATATATATATATATATACCCTACATTCTTTTTTTAAATTTTATTTGAATTAAACTTCTCAAATGTAGTACTAGCTGTATCTCGCGACTTCGCCCGTTTAAATTAGTACATAAATCCTATGTATTAGGTTAGGTTAGTAAACACTTCTCAGTTTTCAGTTTTTTAGTGTGTACATTAACAAATGAAGTCGCTTTTTAAGTATACATATACATATATTTGTCTAAAGTACAATAAACTTACTATTACTACTTTTACCAGAGGGAGACTTTGTACAAAAGTCGATTGCTTGGGTACCTCTGTCCCATTCGTGTTTCAACCGTGAAGCAGTTGTGTTTGCATGGCTGTTTCGGTTTGAAGGGTGGGATATGGCGTGAATTTACTGGGTACAGAGGAATTAAACCTGAGTCCTCAGGAATGGCAACGCATGGGTGGTATCATGGGCGAAACAGTATACTCTGTTATGTCCATGGTACTGCTCATGTCTATAGGCGACGGTTACCACTTTTCATCAGGTGAGGCGTCAGCTTGTTTTATAAAAAAAAAATGTATGCAATTAGCATGAATTACATATGTATTTACATAATTATCCTACGCAATCTATAAAAGAAATATAGCAATTTAATTCAAGGTCACAAATAAAGAAAATCCTTCAAAGTCTTGTAACGCATACCACACGACACAAGAATGGGTATCAAGTTCGCACGCGGCCTGCGCCGGCGCAGTTCGCACGCTGTCGGTTTCCAATTCAATTATACGATCGTCACTACGAGGGTATCGTGCGGAATACCATGGAGAAACCGTTACGACGTTACAAGTGCAGTTAGTTACCTAGATATGCCTACATTATATCCTAAATCTAGAATGAATGTCTAAATCTTAGCTAGCGATGCGCGAATTTACTAGTTATTCGACTGAGCAATTCATACGAATTATCGATTTTATCTAAAAATCGGTTGACAGCAAATTTTAATCATTTGACTACAATTTTTTTTTAATGGATGATAATGAAATGGTAATCCTGCCTCTGCTATCGGTATACACTGGCGGGGCACCAGTGAGAGACGATAGGCGAGAATGAAAGCAAGTACGTTAGCTCATCCTGACAAATTCTTCTAGAATTAACCACGATAGTTTCCAGGGGGAACCGCGTGGAGGTCCACCTGATAAGGTGTATTGCTAGTAATGAGGAAATTATACCCCATTACTAACAATCCCTTTCCCCCCTGACTACTAATTATATTCATTCATTATACTGCTTCTAATCGCTAAAGTCATTCATTAGTAGTTCTTCATGTACGAGTCCGTGTGGTCCCGGCACCCCTTCCTTTTCCGTGGGTGTCGTAAGAAGCGACTAACGGAACCTAATGTTTAAGGGATGGGCAGCAGCGTCCCTCTTAGAACATCACCAAAGCCTGACTGCGAGTGCTAACCCACTTGCCAAAAATGGCAACTATTGGCAAAGCCCTGTTTATCAGGGTGACCTATGTTCAGCAGGGAACAGTTAACGGCTGATATAAGAATGATAATAATATAAAAATGTAAATACGATTTTTAGCTCTCAATTTTAATGAAATTTTGTAAGTGTATATTGTCTGCTCTATCTTGAGAGACACGATAGTTTTTATAAAAAATAAAAAAAAATAGGCCCGGCGATAGCTCTCTCTTTGTTTTACTCTTAAAACAACGTTTATTTCGCAAAAATCGATTGCAAATTGATCACAAAATTAGAAAAGAGATTTTGTACAAAAGTCGTTTACTTAGGCACCTCTGTCCCATTCGTGTTTCTACCGTGAAGCAGTTGTGTTTGCATGGCTGTGTTTCGGTTTGAAGGGATATGGCATGAATTTACAGAGTACAGAAGAATAATACCTGAGTCCTCAGAAATGGCAACGCATGGGGGGTATCATGGGCGAAACAGTATATTCTGTTTTGTCCATGGTACTGCTCATGTTTATAGGCGACGATTGCCACTTTCCGTCAGCTTGTTTGCCCTTCTATATTGTATAAAGAAAGAAAAAAAAAAACACGAAAAGTCCAGCCATCTTAAGAATAAATTCTCTTTGTTTTTTTTTATTTGTTTAATTTATCATTGACTTTCCCGATCCTAACTTAATATACATTATGAAAAAAAAACATCAAAAACGTTTTAAATAAACCATTCCTTACAAAAAAACTTTGTTACAATTAGTTTATTTTTAAATTCCTTCACGTTCAAAGAATCCAATTTTTAAAACTACAATGTTTGTATGTGTTTCTCGCTTTTTTTATGAGACAATAAAATTAGCTTCAACCCTTGTAATGCTACTGCGGCTTTGTTAATGATATTGTAAATAGCGCCATCTACCGGCAGCTGTTCGGACCATTTTATTGTTTTGCTTTCAACTGACCACACGCATCGCGCACGCGCCTCTATGCTTTTAATAGCCATAAAAGTTGCTTCTTTAATGCTTTTATTGCTCTATCTTTTTAAATTTTAATTAGAATTTACGATTGTACCATAGGAATTTAAACTGCTAAGAGCATATTTTATAATAGGCACTATTGTTTATAGAAAGCAAATTGGCAACCCTTATTTTTAATGCAAAAGCTAGTATTATACTAGCTTTTGACTTGCATATACCCTTCCCCCATCTACAACAGGTTTTTTTTTGATGGGTGATAATGGAATGGTAACCCCACCCGCGCTATCAGTATAGATCGGCGGGGCACCAGTGAAGGATGATAGGTGAAGATGAAAGCAGCTTAGTTAGTCCATCGTGACGAATTCAACAAGAATTATTCACGATAGTTTCCAGGGGGAACCACGTGGAGGTCGACCTAATATGGCATATTGCCATATCAACTTCCAATCTCCCCTAGGGGGAAGCTTATCTTTAGCAGTGCACAGTTAAAGGGTGATATAATGACGACAATAACGTTATATAGTTTTATATATATAATTATATAGTTTTATATAGTTTTATCTTTTATATATTTATATAACATTTTAATTATTTCTTTTTATATTATGTGTTTTCTTTTAATATATTACTCAAGCTGTGCACATAATATAATTGGATTATTACCTAGCCGAATCACAAATGTAATTATTACTTAAGTTTCTTATGGTTGTAATCTGTTTTATGTGCCAATAAAATAAAATAAAAATAATGATAAAATAAATTAGATAAACGTGACCTTACCTTGGCGAAATCAACGGGCGGTGCGTTCATCGGACACGTGAACACGCCTTCACTGAAACAATAAAAAATAACTATTAAATAAATTCAGGTACATAACGTTGTACCCTCTACACTCTTCTTCGAAACCCCCAGTCTCCTAACTACTTAAGCAGAAAATTCCAGTATATTTTTGAAACTCACGATCGTAACCTTCGTTCTAATAATACTCTCCAATTATCTTTCCCCTCTCACCGTACTGGTTTCGCTTCAAACTCTTTTCTCCTACATTCTTCACGACTCTGGAACGCGCTTCCTGATGCCATTAAGAGATTACCGACTAAACAGTCTTTAAAAAAAAACGTTCACGCTTACTTTATTACTTTATCCGAGCAGTAAGTTCTTTATATTATTCTTAATTTCGTGTATAATATAGTATATGTCATTATTGTGTAAGTATATTTGTTATTTATATATATATTTCTTTATATATGTAATTTTAGTATGTATGTACATATATCAATAATTACTAGTACCGCATTCGAGTATTCTGACACTTCCCTATGGTTGACTGGGAGAGAATGCTTTTAGCATTAAGTCCGCCATGTACACGTATTTGTACTAATGAATAAATAAATAAATAACGTTCACACCGAGGTAAGTACAACAATGTCATTTAAAAAAAATATATATATATATATAAAATTTAAATCACTTCCGTGTGACCCACACACAGAATGGGCCATCCCTTCCTTTCACAAGGGTATTATAAGAAACGACTAAGAGAGCTGAATGGTTCCTCTTAATCATCACCAAACCCCAACTGCGGTTGCCAACCCGCTTGTCAAAGGTGACAACTACTGCTAATTACTATGAAATTTGGTACACACGTAATATGTGCGGTACCAGTAAGAAGTGATAGGTGAGGATGAAAAGGCAAGTCAGTTAGCCCATTGCGACGAATTCAATGATAAATTAGTCACGATAGCTTCCAGGGGAAACCGTGTAGAGGTCGACCTGATAGGCTATATCGATAGCAATGAGGGCCAACCTCCCCATTACTAACAATCCCTTCCCCCGTGCGATGGTGGTCATAATTTACTTTTTACTCCGGTCAGTAAACATACCCCGGTCACGTGGACGAAATCTCGTCATATATTAAACATAATAACAAAGATAACAGCATTAATTTGGGGGAAAGGGATTGGTAGTAATGGGGTCTAACTGCCCCATTGCTAGCAATATCCCCTATCAGGTCGACCTCCACGTGTTTCCCCTGGAAATCATCGTGGTTAATTCTAGTGCAATTTATCACGATGGGCTGATCTGCTTTCATCGTCACCTCATCTACCACTGGTGCCCCGCCAGCGTATACCGATAGCGCGAGCAGGGTAACCATTTCATTGTTAAAAAAAAAACAGCATTAACTGATCGACATTTTTATATATCTACCGCTGTTCAATTAGCATGGTTAGTTGTTTTAACGAGTAAATATTAATACAATTATAAAATCGGATCCATGTTCTCATCGTGCGACTATCAATTGCATGTCGATGTGTACAGCCAACGACGCAAGTGTTACATTTCAAAATATTTTATTTCAAATCTTGTAACAAATTATTGACTAACCAACACACAGTTCAAAATGCGGAATATATTTATATGAATTTTTTAAAGAGTTTTCTTTCCCTAAATACTCTGAGGTTGGTCAGAATTAAAATGCAATTTCTCAAAAATTACTAAAAAAAAAAAGAAGAAATAAATTTCGTGCAATCACTAATCCTTCAACAAAAGTTATATAAACACATTTCTCAAAAATGGCAACCCACGAGAGAGGAGTCACGTAATATTAGCTAATCACCATAACATTTATTTCGACCCTATTTTAACTTACATCATTCTTGTTACGAACTTTTAGAAATAGAAAGTTCTTTCTATTTCCGTATTCCCGAAGGAACAAGGAACAACCTAGTACTCTTTCAAGTCAAAAAACTATCTTCTAAGAAAACGACTTCTCCGACTACAAAAAAAAAGTGGAGGTGCGTGTTGAAGTGATTAAAGATTTAAAATTATTTTTTCGAATATATATCGTATTACTCGCCACATATAGATTATAAAAACAACCATCAAGATTAAAGTTAAACAAATTACATAAAACAGTGCAAAATAAAGTGAGACATAACTAAATATAGCTGAAAACTAATACGAAAGGTTACGAATTTCATAAATCTAATTATACACAAATGTGGGTATCAAAATAAAAATCGACTTTGGTATCTCATCTGATAGAAAGTGCTACAAACATTATAAAAAGATCTCCATAGACAATACTTCCATAGACAATACTTCCATAGACAATACTTTCATAGACAATACTTCCATAGACAATACTTCCATAGACAATACTTCCATAGACAATACTTCCATAGATAATGCTTCCATAGACTAGTACATAGAAATACAAGTTTGGAGCTAACTCTTGAACGATAACTAATTTTTTTGTCTAACTATATATACGGCCTCTTGACTAACTATATATATTAATTATTTTCGAATACTTATTGACTACTCTGATTCAGCAAGTGACTGCCATTTATATCGAATCAAGAAGTTGTGGATCACTACTGCAAAGGGATTGATATAGATTTAGAGGAATACTGATAATTAATATAAATTTACGTAATCAACTAATATTGAAATATAAGAATAAAAATTATATTACATATTTAAATAAATTTCAATATATAAAAAAATGGAAGAAGACAATGTAACAATTCGAAAGAAATTGGGAGGGATTCATTCTAGCTCATATGAATCTCTTCCTAATCTAGAAACTTCATCTCCATTGTCATCTTCATCAAATAGACTCTATAGTCTCCCAGACATATCCACTGTATGCTATAATGAACTAGAAGAATTAAAGAATATTATAGAAGATTTAAAATTACAACTAAGTGGTGCACACGAGGAAATTGATAAATTAATACTTAATAATAACAATCTACAACAAATTATCAAAAGCAAAGATCTAAAAATCAGTAAGCTGCTACATTTAAGTTCTCCTTCAACACATAGAAAAGAACATATTAAAACACCAAAACAGAAAAGCTTGACTAAGAAACAAATTGATTTCTTAGATTTAGATATACACTCATCACCATTTATAAACAATCCAATAAAAAAAGTTTATAAAAACACGGAGGAGTTTATACAAACAAGTGATAATAATGTAAGTGACTCTTGTAAGACATCAAGAATCGATTCGACGAACACAAACATACACTCAAAAGAAAAAGAAATAACAATATTAAGTACACAACAGGGTACAGGACTTGCCAGTGCTCTGACCTACTCGCGATGGAATAACAAATACGAAAAATACAAAATATCTGGATTAACGAAGCCCTATGCATCAACTAAAGAAGTTCTGAAAGAGTGTCACAATTTAAAATTAACCTCTGCCGATAAAATTGTGCTAATTATAGGCGAAAATGACATTAATCCTTGCAGTATACTTATTGAATTAACAATTGCTTTAAAAACTCTACAAAACTGTTCTGTAATATTGTTGAATATATTTGAAAATAAGCACCTGAATGTAAAACTATTGAATAAAAAGATTCATTTACTGTGTAACAATTTTCGGAATTGCCACTACTTAGAAGTAAAATTAAAATCTAATGCTTATATCTGTAATAAATTAAATTTAACAATCGACTCTTTAGATTATAATGATAAATACTTACCATTTTTAAAACACAGTAATAAATGCTTGATGCCATCAGAAAATCAAGTCAAAAAAATAATACATAATACAAATTCACTTGATGAGTTAAGACGTTCTAGAACTACAGTACAGACTACTTTATTAGATTATTTCCCAAGGTCTTTATATACCCGTAAAGCTAAATTAAATAAATATCCTGCATCAGAGGTGACACGTACAGATATTTTACAAATTGACGAGAATAGTTACGTTGATGGTGCTAGGTTAACCCTGACACCACGACTGCGCAATACATCGGAAGTTCGTAATGATAAGACTTTTTTTCGAGATTAATAGTGACAATGAAAATAATATTGTAATAATGCACCAAAATATTGCTGGTATATTAAATAAACAAGAAATATTTCAAATAACTCTAGATGAATTGAAAACAAATGGCACATCTGTAGAAGTTATATGCCTTAGTGAAACTTTTCTAAAGTCCAATGATGAAAAAAACTTACACATACAGGGTTATTGTTTAGCAGATTTTTATTCCAGACCAAATCAACGACGAGGTGGTGTATGCATACTATGTAAAGACCATTACAGTTTTAACAAAATATCCATGCTTTCTGAATATGCTACTGAACGCACTTTTGAGTGTTGTGGTATTAGTATTCCACAAATGAAGTTCTTTATTATATGTATATACAGAATTCCTAAATCTGACCCGCAGTTATTTTTGAATAAACTCGAAACTTTATTAGACAAACTACGATACAAAAAAAATTATAAAATTATAATAGCAGGAGACTTTAATATAAACATTTTAAAAGATAGCAATATTCAGACTGATTATATAAGAATAATCCAAAATTATGGATTTACAATACATATCAATGAACCAACAAGACAACATGCTTGTCTCGATCAAATCATTAGTAATGTTTTCAATGTTATAGGACATACACACAAGGTAGGATTATCAGATCATGAGACATGCCAAACGATCCATGTTCCAATTCTAAAAGAACAAAAGCCGAAGAAGATGTGGTTTAAATTTAAGCGTGACCATAACGAAGACAATATGAATAAATTTGTGCAATGTTTGAGTGGTTTCTCTTGGATGGAGGTTTTTGAAGCAACTAAATTAAATGACGCATTTAATTTTTTTTACGAAAATCTTATTCTTTTTTATAAATTATGCTTTCCTATGTATAAAATAAAAATAACAAGCAAATCTAAGAATTCTGAATGGATTACGAAGGGATTAAGAAAATCATGTGTCACAAAAAGAAAATTGCGGTTCAAATATTACAAGAAGAAAAATCAAGAAAGTAGGACCCAGTATCGTAAATATGCTGAAT